GGCACTGGAACTTTCTCCAAGGTCATGAATTTATTCTGGTAGTGTTCTGTATCTTTCATGGGAACTCAGGCTCCTTGGAAGATTTAGGAAGAAAATCTGTTTGCAGGAACCAAAATACAATAAGAAACAAAGCCTTTGGGTATCAGTACATCCCCTTAAATAATGTTGAATTCTTCTTGGAGCACCGTGCCTGGGACAGGATGGTCATGTCACAGTGACTTACTGAGCATGAGCTCAGTAGCACAGCTTCTGAAGAAACAGCTAGCACTGATCAGGCATTTGACATCAGAATTTCATAGATTTCAAACAACTTGCTGTATTTTTCTTAAGTGTGGGGGTTTCCTCAAGTTTCTGCCAGGCCACACACATCATATGTTAGAAATCTTTGCAGGGAAGAGCCCATCTAATGTTACTTGTCAGCACTGATTCCATTTAGCAAGAGTGCAAAACTATTTTCGGCCTGCTGTGATGGCTATTTTTATCTCCATTAACCTCTTGACTGAATATAAACATTTATTGAGGGTTGCCTCCCTTGTTTGTCCAGTTGCTTCAAAGGTTAGTGAAAAGTGGATGCCTGCCTGACCTCTTTTATCCTCATTAGCTAATTCTAATTGTTCCCTGAGAGATCACAGTTTTGACCCTGCTTGTCCTTGTCAAATTTGTCTAGTTATGGCATGAAAACATTAGCAGAAATTGCGTTTTCAGGGAAACATTGCTCAAGTGTAAAATGTACCTAGTGTAGAGCAGTGAACAATACTATGGGTCTATAATGTGCCCTCGTTTGAAAAATATGAGGTAATTACTGTATGGCCCCATCTTACAGGCACCCATGTTAGCAGATCCCTGTGATTATACATGGGCAGTAGGGAGAATGTTTTGTAAGCTTTTCAGTAATGTGTAGCAGTTCTTTTGGAGAGAGAAATAAAATTATGTTCGGTTTTTGAAGTCTTATTTGTAAACAGATGCAATATTGTTGCTTCTGTATCAAGAAAGCTTTTTTTTTTCTGTGTGTAGAAAGGTTTATTTCTTAAGCTAGAGATATTCCTGCTAGAACTTTAAAAATACCCAAATGAAAGAGTCGTAACAATACCCAAACAAAAGGTAGGTAACACCTACCACCACTATTTTGGGAATGACCAACTAAATTTTGTACTATGATAAATGCATCTGATGAATTACAGGATGATTTTCATAGAACTCTCTGAGAGTCAGAGCATGAACATACTTTAATTCAAGTAGGATGATATCCCAAAGGTAAAAGAGCTGTCATGAGGAACATGTTGTCCTGCCAAGACTTTCTTCAGTGTCAAGCCAAGAAAGCCCTTTTTGATGTTCCTTGCTGGTTCTCAGCTGTGGTTGTAAAGTTGAGACAAAGGACCTGGCAGCTCTCAATTAGGTATCTCAAACAGACAAGTCCCAGGCTTCAGAAGTTGTAACCAGTGCCTTAAATTCCACAGACACTTAGTGCAAATTAAAAAGCACTGGTGTAATGCGCTCAAAGCACGATATCCTGCTTTAGAAGCGGGTTGCTGCATTCTGCACCCGCTTCAGCTTTCAAATGGATTTAAAATGTAGCCTCAGGTATAGCGCATTGCAGTAGTCTAATCTTGAGGTGATAAAGGCATGACTGATTTAACCATAGCTTCTTGTTATCTTGGACTGGGGTCTTTTCATTTTAACCATTTTAAGGAAATGGCCTTTCCTGAATCAGCAGGCTTGCTTCAGTTCTTACTATGTAATAAGGCACAACAAGAGCAAACCTCTCTCAGTGGTGAACACCTATGAATGTGCAAACCTCACGGGATGCCAGACCCCAAGAACTGCTGCTGTGGTCCTGACCTGCCTTACAGCTCACACAATATGCCAGTGAGGTGCATCAAAGGGAAGCCACTGCTGGTATCCCTCAGTGGAGCTGCCAAGCTTTACAAGCAGCCAGGGTCTTGTGAAGTTTTGCTTTCATATTAAAATAAGTTTATTTGCATATCTGTGCAGCTTGGGAGCAGAGCTATGGGAGAATGAGAAATTCTTTTGAGGTGTCCACCAGTTCTTCTGGGCTAGCAGAGCTGTGAGACGAAACACCCTGTTCCTCCTCCAGCCTATCTCTAGTGCCTAGAGACTGCTTACAGCTGCAGAGCTGATTACAAGTTTAACTGCCAAGCTGACCTGGAAGCTAATTTAGTGATAACCATGGAGTTCTTTAAGTTTCAAAAAAGCCCTGTAAATGAGGAATGGCAAAGCAGACACGCATGCTGGCTGCTGGTGCTCAGTCTACCTGCTGCCACTTCTGCTTCACCTCAGAAGAGATGAGGCCTGGGCTCCTCTCTTCTCTGGAGGAAACTGGGGCAGTGGCCTGGGACTAAGCCTACCACTTACTAAAGGAGAAATTAATCTCCATGAGAAAGTCAAATGGTATCTCTGTATCTCATTCTTCCTCAGCAGTATGTGGTTAAGTATAATCCTTTCCCAGGACATATTATTTGTCCTGTCTATGTAGATAAACTATTGCCCAGCACAAGAAGATCCTGATATTATTTGAGGCTTTTTGATACCACCTTAATGCAGATAATACCCTTAGAGATGGAAGAGACACAATGAAATGTCAGACGTCTGGAAAGAAGTAAACCAGAAACAGGAATTAGATCTTGTGAAAATTAAATAGATGATCCCTTCTGCACTTAAAAGATAGAATTTTGGTTTGTTCTGATTTTTAACTTGGCCTCCAACTTAGGAAAAAGAAAACTTTTTTGAATGTCTTAATCATTTGTGGTACTTGGAAAATTCTCCTAGCTGGATAATATTTCACTGTCTTTTGATTGTAATTGGGATTACCAGAGACTGAAAGCACATATAAGCACAAAAACATATTAAAGGCATGACTAAAATGGCACTTGGAGAAATGCAGCAAGTATTGGAGTGTGTCCTGATCCTCCTCTTCATTATTGCTATGCAGCCATAGTTGCCAACATTCTTGGTACAGCTTGTATTCAATATGAGTATGAATCTCAGCTGTGAGAGGAAAGCACTCTGAATTGTTTTCTGTAGCAGCCTTAACACTGTTTTAGTGTAAATTGCAGTAAAGTTCTGACTTTTCTGTGATAGAATATAGAGATGATACTTTGATTACCTTTCATCTCATCTGCTGCATCTCTTTTTCAGTTCTTGCCTAATTTATGTCATTTTTTCTATGTAGCCCATATGTGTATGCTTTACACTGATTTCAGAACTGATATCAGACTTCTTGATAATTTACATAGAAACTTATCCAATTTTTTTTGTTTTAATTTACTGGTCAATTATTAATTAGAATTTAAATTTAGAACACAAGTACATGCAGCTGGGTTGACTCTTGTAATGTTTCATATAAGCAAAACATACTTTCTGCAATTTCCCATAGAGAAAGCAGTATTAGGAGTTGAGACATTGCACATCTCTTGTTTCAGTATTTTTACACTAGGTAGGTATATTTTTGCTAGCTGTCACATTCCTTTTTCCTAATTTCATTCATAATTTCTATCTGTTTTTTTCCCAATGCATAGGGAAGATAAATAATGCCATGGAGTGCATATAGAAGTGTAACTTACGCACAAATATTCATATGAAAAATGTAAAATCTAAAATGAAAATTAAGTAAGTAGTGTATTTGGTAAAACACTATTAGAGTCTAAACAGATAACCCACAAAAATATGAAGACTTGTGACATTTAATGTCCTTTTCTATCATCATTATTAAAATATTAATGTAATTATAGTAAATATATATTATTTAAGATTATTGATTTAATCTTATATAACTGAAATATTTTAAGCAATATCTGATTTTCAATAAATATTTTCAGGTATGTTTTGTGAATGTAATATGTTCTGTGCTAAATGATTTTATTCTTCACTACATTTCTAGAATAGTTCTCAATAATAAATGTTGGCAAAGCATCTGCAATGTCCATGTAAATATGCTTTTCTGTGTCATAAAATTTTTTATCTTGGTCAGTAATACAGAATATCACAATAAAAAAATAGGTTGAGACAACTAGAGAATTACTGGTGGAGTATAAAAATAATTAAATTCTCTTACAAAATGTTGGAATGTCTTGGACTGAATTATATCCCAGAAAAGATAATTAAAAGTTGCATTGTAGCTGTTTTACTTTGTACTCTCTGTGGTGGTTTTATTCTTGGTACAGAAAAGAAGAGCTATCTATGATAGAAGTCTAAGTGCCACATACTGGCAAACTCAGGATTTTTGCCATTTGATTAGTAAAAGCAGTTAAGTGTTAATAAATTTGAGGCCTCTGCCTAATCGACTCAAATAAAAAATTCTCTAAGCATAGATTCTGAAATACAGACAGGAGATGGTAAATTGCCTGCATGCCTTTCAGGTGTGATGATGTCATGCTTTACTTTTAAGTCTTTGAATGTATTAATAGAACTTGTTTTATAGTCTTTTTAGAGTCAATCATTAATTAGCATTATTACTATTTCAGACATAGTAAAATCAAACATCAACACAGCAAAAGGGGAAAAAATTCCATAATCCATTCAGAACAATTTCCTATGATAATACAAATGTTACCCAGGACAGATCTTTGAAATGGATACTAATTCTTTAAATTCTTTCCTGTCTGTTTCAGGAAATAGTGAGATCCCATTGATTATGAGTACAATATGTCTAAAGTTCACTTCTAAACACTTGGCTCTTTGCTGTGAAAGTCATCTGCATTCCCTTTATAATTCTCAGCCACCAGAGATCTGTGTAATCTTGGAGATCTGATCCAATATCATTCAGAAAAATCCTTGATAATAGTTTCACCAGTCAATCAATGAAAGAACTGAAGCTTCCTGCTTGTGTCTTCTCTACAAAAATCCCGAGGCAGGGGAATAAGACTTTGGCTTATGGGTTTCGAGATTTTGTTGTTTGCAAATAAAATGATTATTACCATTATTATTCAAGTTCTTAATCAAGGCGAACAAATGGCATCTGTTTGTTATCATCCTTCCTACAGAAGACAAAGGCTTCAGTCCCTATGGTACTGACTGCTGGCCCCAAGTGGCTGCTGGATGTGACTTGGCAAGGAGTAGAAGACAACAAAAACAACTGCATTGTGTACAGCAAAGGTAAACACAAACTGATTTTTTTTTTCTTTACTTTCTTGTGTAAGCTACTGAGATAAATATGTACCTGTTGCATACTAGGAACATTAATACTAAGTCTCCCCTTAATGTCAGTTTTTGTTCCCATTTTTCTTCCATGTTCTGGTTTCACCTGCCCTTTTTATATTTTAGTGATATAAAAACCCACATGGTACATGTAGTTTATGAAATGTTTATAAATATTGAAGGACATCAGCTGGCATAAAATGTACTATGCATTTCTCTCTAAGAGTCAGGGCTCTGGGAAACATCAGTGAAACTTATATACTTTCAATAGGTTAATTCTTTTTTACATATTTTTGGGCATACTGGGTATCATTTCTCTATTTTACATTACGTTGTAGACCACTAACTGAAATCCAGTTTCATATGAAGAATGAGAATTTGATTGGACTATGAAAAGACTTTATGTCAGCATGGTAGTGTCAGATAAATGGAACTGGATTTCAGGGTTGTCACCTCTGACATTCCAGTCTCTGTGTAGCGGCAGGATGTGATGATGCTTCACTGGAGTGTATTGGTGAGTGGCAATGGGTATCACTTGTGTCTTATGTGAATTTTCAGATTTGTTCACATCAGTATGAGTTCTTACAAGGCTGCTTGCCAAAGATGCTTTATCTAACCCACCACATCTAACAGCTCCTTTGGTTCAAGGTGCACAGGTTTCTGTCTTGCATCTTGAAACAATTCAAAGGGCCTTGGGTTCAGTCCACAGCATAATGGACCATACACCACTCTGGTGCAGTCACTGTGAAAGCTTTCTAAATGCAGCTACAGAATCATTACAATATGTTAAAAAAAAAAAGAGAAACAAAACACTACTTGAATACATGGAATAAAAATAACTTCATGTAGCTGTTTGGCATTTACCCTACAGATCAGGTTGCAAAACTATGACTTTCCTTCCTTGTATTTCAATCACCAATCTCAGCACTTTGTGAATACTTTAGAACATGCACTGTTCTTGTTCTTTTAGGTTTTATTTCTAACCAAACAGACCTACTGAGATCAAAGATTTGTTTGCTGAGGCAACCTAGTGACCATTTCAGCATACAAGCATCCAGGCAAATAAGCAGCCATATCAATATATTAACATACAAAACACTAATCATAACATCAAAGACTCCTAAAAACTTACTAGAAACAATTACAACTTGTTCCTATAATCATTGCAATTTATACACTTATAAGAGGATTGCTTTTAAACTGCCACAAGCCTTTGAAAGTTGAAACGCTGAAAACAGGGAATTTGCATGTTAAAAATGAGTCGCACACCAGGGTCTTATAAATTCTTTCTGTTATAATTACAGAATGTCAACACATTCATTCTACAACCTGAAACACCTGCAGTACTAGAGAACTGGGCTCAGATCTAAAAAGGGTTGAGCTGCCCTCCCTTCACAGCTTGCTGATTGCAGCCCAAGTGGAAGAAGCAGCAAAGTGCTCTGAGTAACAAGCACACTGAAGCTTTTTGCATGAAAATCCAGAGCTGCAGTTTGCTGTTCATAATATAAAACAGGCAGACTTTTCTGCAAAAACTTCTTAACATAATGGGAAACTCCTTTCACTCCAAAACATAGCTTCTGCAAATTCCCATAGGATGATGTCTTATCAAGTAGTATATTCTTTCTGTATTTATAATAATACTTAGCACATATTTACCAGTTTTCATCTTCAAAGTATTTTTCTAACATTAACTAATTAATTAGACAGTTTTGTCCTATCTGATTTATTCTACTGAAATATAATTATTTTTTTTTCAAATAGTAAGAACTTGCTTCAGTTTGATGCAATCTGATTAACCCAAAAGATTAGTATTTTCATTCAAACATGATGGATTTTGTTTCACTGATCATGCTGGTTATTTTAGTACTTGGTTAACAATGTATGATGAGACAGTTGAACAGTACTCAAGGTGAATTCCATTATCTCTACACAGATGCCTATTATAACTAAAGATTGAGGATAAATTTGAGGATAAATACATGATAAAAACCTGCTACTTCACTAAACTAATGCAGGAAGTAAGTTGTAGATATGCTTTGCTGTCGCTGTGTTCTGTTCCTCTCTTTGCACTCTGAGGTGGCTGCTCTGTCGGTCATTAAGCATCCACCCTTGCCTTGAGCTCTGTTGGGATTTTTGTACTAGAGAGATTAATTGGCTTGGATCACAAAACAATGTCAAATAGAAGATGGTAAAATAAATAAATAGAATAATGTTTCTTCCTTCAATTTGTATCTCATCATTCCAGATTACATTGCTATGATTTGTGTTAGCTTTCTGTCTCCTGTAGTGCCATTACTTCTAATGAAATGGTGTCAGCTGGCATGTAGCTGTAATTCGATGTTATGTTGTAGTTGCATGTGTATAATTTTGTTAGTTTGCTTAGCAATACGTTTTTATTTCTGAAAGCAATTAGCTGAACGAATGTGTGGAATTGTCCATGTAGCAGATTTGGTCACCTGGGAGCTGTTTTCCATACTAAACTCAAGATGAGATGAGTGGAGTAAATTGGCACGTTTCTAAGACGAAGATAAGTTTAGAATTGGCTAAGAGTACATAGTACTGGTTGATCAGTTGCTGACTCAGAAGCACATGCCATATTTCCTTTTAGCTCATTACAGAGATATCTTAGAGAGCAGAATTTCCCCAGATCCTTCAGGAGAACATAGGAATGTCAGTCTGATTTCCAATTCACTAGAGGCTGTGAGCACTATAGTCACCCACATATTGCACACAGAATAATCACATGGACAGGAACCTAAAGTAGGTTCTATTGAAAGAGAATTTGAGCTGGCTGGCTAAGTCCGTGTTTGCCTTCAATGCTCTCCTTTCTCTGCATAAAATACTTCATGTTTTCCATAGGCATACGAACAAAGCATATGTGTGCATATATATGGGCATTTATTTATTTATTTATTATGTACGCATATAGGAATATATTTCTAAGATATTACAGAGCAATCACAAGTCATCTTCTATACAAATCTTTAGATAAACCAGTTATTTAAAATCACACATCAAAGTACATTCAAAGTGAATAACTATGAAATAAATATTCAGTATTTGAAATAAGTGCTATTCTAATTATTCAGTTTAGTCTAGGATCACTACTTGTATTATTTTTTATAACTACATTTACCCAGTATCAGAACAGGTTAGAAAGGAGAAAAACAGTAAATTAGGAATAGTTAATTATTATCCCATTTTACAAATTCTGATACAAGTTGGCTACTCATGGCACTTGCCATTATTCCACTCTCTTTCGTCATTTATTCTCCCATTTTGAAAGGAAACTTTTACTACTGTAATTACATTCAAAAGGAATGCTGTTTTTGTTTCGATATTTATTGTAAAATTCTCTTTTGTTTCAAAAATGGACTTTCAGAAAGTCTATTCAGTAATTTGATATATCTCCTAGAAACTGAGACTTAAGTAACAGATTTTATGAATTAAAGCTTATTTAGAAATATATTTTCTTTAAGAAAAAAGCTTCAGCATAATTCAAGCAAGTTACAGTGGTAGGAAGTATTAATGCATGAACTGTATTGTCATTGCTACATAATGTACTTTAAAAATATTTTTGCCTAACAGAGTTGTGCACCAGACCTGGAAAATCTCTAAGACCACGGTTAAGAGTCTCCCCACAAGCTAGGAGGGGGCTGGGATATTTATTTACTGCAAATCTTTCACTGGAACAGCAAGGATTTTAAAAAATAAATTATGACCAACCAGAATAGAAACAGTGTAAAAACCACAGTTGCACAGACTAAAAGCCATGCTCACGTAACAGACATTTTTCTAGATATTATTTAAGCCATTTATGTGAAATGTATGGATACCGTATGTTTAGTGGCATTGTTAAAACAGGGTGTCTGTACAAATATTTAGCTGTGAGAATTATAAAATCATAAGGCGATTAAGTTAGCTAGTTGTGAAATTCCAATATTGCTTTTTAAATGACTTCAGGATATAGGAGGTGCTAAGGTTATTATCTGTTATCAGGAATACAGCGGAATTGTACGACTGGATAATAACTAAACAACTGACACAATGTAAAATTACATTATCAGTGTGTTAAAACAAAATTGCGCCCTAAAGGAGTCTACATGCCAGCTCAGAGCTGCAGTGTAATTATGCTTAACTCTGATAATTAAAATACAACGGAGATCAACAGAATCATTTTCATTAAGAAAATTATTAATGATGGTGGTATAGCAGTAATTGATTGCAGAGCACCACAGGATAACTGTGTGCAGGAAAGCCAACATGTGTAACGTGTGTCTGGGCCGGGCGGGCTGCGACGCGTCCCGGGGAGCGAGCTGCCGGCCAGGTGGCAGCCAGGGGCACATCTCCTGCTGCAAATCCTAATTTAGGGAACGGCCGCTCTGCAGGCTGCCCCTCGGAGGGACAGGGATGGGTGCTGGTACACGGGATGAGGCGATGGGGTCGGTACGGCTGCCAAAAGGGAGGTGGCTGCGGGCAGTGACTCGCACATTTCTTAAGCCAGCCATCATCTCAGTTTGTGTGAGGCACTGCTTGGTTTTGCATTTCCATTAGTGATTTACTGATGTTATTTCCTCCTCTGCCTGGCCTCACCGAGTAGTTTATGCCCTTCGTTATTTCTGAGAGGATGCGGGAGGAGGAAAAAGCCCATCGTTGCCCCGGCGCGGTTGCACAGGCACCGCATGACATCTCCGTAAGTGATTCCACAGGGTGCTCCCGTTAATTGTGCTGGTGGTGCGGACACAGGATATCGAGTGCCATAAAAAGCCTCCCTCTCTCCGTAAGTGAAATCACAGTCGGTGCCCACTGAGCTACTATAACAAAACCCGTGCTAGGGAGGATGTTGCCTAAGGGGGAGATCCAAGAATTGTCATTTTCTTTGGTGAGCAAAAAAACGGGGAGCGGGGGGAGGGAATTTCGGGGGAGTGCTGCTCCACGCAGCTAAAGAATAGGTCATT